ACATGGAAATGGGGACACGCACGACCATACTGATCGCAGCAGGCGGCTTGCTTCTCCGGGGTCCAGAGGTTCTTCCAGTCATGGTATCCTTCGTAGCAGTTCAATGTGGGCTCCATGTCGTCTGCACCAACGGGTGTGCGATGCGAGAAGAACCACCACAACAACCAGCCTTGGAAAAGACAGGCCAGCGGGATTTGGAAACCTGGTGGTGTGAGCTCAAGTTGCATCGGAGCTGCCCAGCAGGAGGAGCGCAGGGAGCGCCAGCATTGCCAAGCAGCAGGCACGCACCCTGCCGAACCCAAGTTTAGTTTCGTCGAAAGCAAAACCGAGACTGGAAGCAAAACCGAGACTGACCCATGCACGCAGCGCTACAGCGGCTGTTGGGCAATTGGAGGTCCGCTAGATCTCTGCTTTCCAGTCTTTTACTGCACCAAGGACCTCCAAAACACCTCGTCGCAAACTAACCCCGGCGCTGTGCCAACCTGCAACTTGATTTCTGCGCAGCTTTGTGCATGCGAACTAGCAACATGACACCAGTTTGCACCCTCCCCACCAAAGCTCTTTTGAGATCCAAAACGAGAACGTCAACCCAACAAAAAATGCACACACACACACACATTCGACACAAATGCCTCTCCAGGTCTCGCTCTCAAGAACTGCCGAAACTCATGGTACACTAACAGGCTGCACTATGGTTTGAAGCGCATCATTGTTCACGCACAGCGAGTATGATTGACGATATTTCACATGGCAGGTATGCAGCGGAGATCAGCCGCTGCATCCACTCCAGTGATGTGGCTTCGTTGGGCAACGCTTGTCTCTGGAGCCCTTGCCCCCCGTGCTGAAATCACTACACATGTCACTGCAACGACTATCGCTTGGAAACAGGGTTGGACACACACACACACACAAACACGAGGACACTAGTCATGACTCTCCCTGCAACATCCCCCGCTACATTCACAGGGAATCTAGAAAACCTCTCGCTTCCGCATGCAACGCAGTGTCTGGCCACCAGCCTCCATCGGGTGTATACAGCCTTCTCCTCTTTGTTCCACTCGCCCATTCCTGCAGCTACCGGCAGCTACTATTCTGGCTGCTGCAATCATCACAGTGCCAACATGCACACCTTGGACTCCTTGTCAGTCTCGATTCTATTTGAAGAGCCATTACCAGTAAGGCATGCTAAGTGTGGCCAAGCGTCCTGCACCAATGTACCGCATCTCAGAGCGCTGCTCGTATGACCCACGGCTCGCACCGACATAATCTCAGCACCCCAGCGAGTCTAGTCGGGCCCAGTCAGTCTAGGTTTAGAGCCTTCGCAACGAACTCCGAACTCGTGCAACTTACAACAGCAACAGCGAACCGAGGAGCGCCAGTGATCTTTCTCGGTCCTGGCGCCCTGGCCCTCATCGCCTTACGAGCACAGGACAACACTCGCTGTGGCCTACTGGGCTCAATGTGAGTGCACGCCAAGGCACCTTCGCACATGAGCTCGGTGCAGTCACCCATTGGGAGCTGATATTTTTGCCCGAACACACAAATGAGAATGATCAGAGCCGATATGCTTGCTCACGGATACACGCTACTAGCAACATAAGCGGGCTGCGCCTGCACTTCGGAATCCATACAACTTGCATCAAGCCCAGGCGAATGTTCTACGCCGTGCCTCACGATTGCGCTGTCAACGGCATGTGCAATCCGAACACCAAACCCGTGAGTCGTGGCTTGGTCCGTGGGACGCAAACACATCTGCAAGAAATGCTTACGATTATGGTTTGGTGCGGCAAGGCATGGTCGACATATGCTTGAAGGAGCAGAACGGCTGAGCCCCCCAAGAAGACTTTGCATGGCGGAGCCCAGCCCAGAGAACGATGGCATCTTGCCCGACATCGGCCATTTCGACTGGGGTTGCCCCAGTCCTAGAGGCCTTGAAGTTCCATGCAGCATTCCGTTGTTGTGCAGAAAAGAGACGAAGTGGGTGCAACAAAGTACATCGGGCTTGTTTATCCCGTGCAGATTGGACATACTGGTGGCGGATGCTGGACGACTGTCACGGTGTGCATGGTAGTTATGCTGGTATTGTGGGGAGTTCACCCAGTGCATTCTGAGCCTTCATCGCAGACTCCTCGTTTTCGTGCTCGTAGCTAGAAGCTGCTAGTAGTTATAGTAGCTAGTCCGACCACCAGCAAGAAGAAGGTGGGAGGTCTGCGAACTACCACGCACCAATGCCTTGGGCTCAACTGCAGGAGTTGCCCACATGGCGACAGCACCAGTCCTGCCAGTAGAGCGATGCAGGGACAAATGCCACCTCTGGGCTGCTTGCCGCTGCGTGCGCCTGCCTTCTTGGCTGGCGACCAAGCCGTATGCCAGCGTGAAAAGCCTGCATGGCAGTCGAATGCTGCTCCATGGCCTCGCAAAAGCCAATCGAGACCAAGGAGGAGGTCCTTCATGTGTCTGTCACTCCCATCTGAGGTCCGGACTGTAGTGCGCTCCGCCGTGGTACACGTGGTGAACGACATGGACGGTCTGGGCTCCTTCTCAGCAAGGCAGCCTGTGTGTAGCTTGCGGCAACATCGCGCCTGCCCTACCTCCGTCGCAGCCGACATGTTGGTGGAGACAGCACCATGCCTGCTGCGGGAACTAGCAAAAGCCAGCTTGCCTGAGTTGCCTCCGCAGCTTTTCGTGGCCTTCTTGCCCCCGGACCAGCCGGTGTGCCAGTTGGCCCGGCCGGCGTTGCAGTCATAGGGCAGGCTGGCGTGACTCTGCCCGTGGCCGTGCACCGCCACCCACGTCCAGTAGCCGTTCACCTGCCATGCGCTGCAGCACCAAGCGCCAGCCAGCATGAACGAGCACCGGCCTGGACGTGCTTCCAGACCATGCCGTAGCCGGCATCGACGGAAGGCGGGTGGTGGCCCTCGCAGCCCTTTCCCTGCTTGGTGCAGCACCAATGCTTCTTCTCCGGGGACCAAGCCTCGCAACAGTCTGCCGAGGCAGGGAAGGCGCGTATGAGCGTCTGCTGCATGTCCACAACCCACGCACACTCACGCACACTCGGGGTATCAGTCAGCACAGGCCAGGCGACCCTGAAGAAGTTGTTGATGGCCGCGTTGCAGTCGAAGGGCAGTGAGCCCGACCCGATGTGCACTTCACAGCCTGCCTCCTGTCCCAAACGCACGGAAATATTGGGGTGCTGAGCCGTTTCGGGTGTTGCCAGTCTCTCACCAAGAAATGCCTTGTGAAGCCACGATTACCAGAAGCTTTGTGCCTGGATAGAGCAAGATCGGCACACGTCGCACTCCACCTGCACCTTGCTGTAGGCAAGAGAGCATTTGTTCTCCTTGCATCAAGCAGGGGTCAGTCGCGTGCCGCTTCGTTGGGAGACGTGCAGCTGCGGAATGCCAGGCAGTCCTTGTCTCCGAAGACGTGGTCTCGTGTCCAATGGATGCGGTTCTTGCAGGTGTCTGTCTCTCCTGGAAAGACTTGGCTCTGATGTCGGCGCCACCCGGAGAGCATCGCACCCTATGATGTGCCACAGGGGTATAAGCATCTGGCCTTTGAGTGTGCACGGAGTCTCGCACTTCATTGGCGAAAGCGTCGTTTGTGGGCAACCCTTCTGAAAGTGAGCACAGCACCTGTGAATCGTCGTGTCTCTCTGAAATGCAGAAGCAAGCACTCCATGAAAACAATTCAGCAAAGACACCAGTCTGACTTGTCATCGGTCCAGGAAGCGTCCTTAGTCAGTTAAAGTGGCCGGATGATTCCGTGAGGCTGCTCGGTCTCGGCTGCACTGGAATCGGACTGCTCACAAGTCACAAGTCACTTTCCAAGGCCCAAGGCACATCATCCTCGGTGCAGTGGTACTTGACGCAGCCCTTCTGCTCATGCGAGCAGCACCAGTCCTTCTTGGAGTCCGACCACCCTTGCATCCAGTTGGAGAACCCGGCTTCGCAGTCATAGATGTGCCCTACAGCATGGCCGACGTGGTGTCCCACGTGCATGTGGAGGTGGTAGCTGCCATGCCAGGTACCGGGACACCCGCGAGACTCGTGAGAGCAGCACCAGGCTTTCTTGTGTTGCGACCATCCGAATAACCAGTTCGAGTAACCTGCACGGCAGTTGTAGTGCTGCGCAGGAGGACCGTGGTAGACGAAGTGCGGGTGGTGGACCACAGTCGCAGAACCACCGCATGCTCGGCCATAGAGGTCACAACACATGGCTCTCTTGTCTGCATCCCAGAGAACCTGATAATTGTAAAATCCAGTGTCGCAATCGATCGCATCCTGAGCAGGCCTTGACACTGACATGTCATCGGCACCAACTGTCGTCGTCCGTTCGTGCAGGAGGTGGTACAGGAGGTAACCTCGAATGATCTTTCCCTACCAGCCCTACCATCGACATTTGGATGAAACGGGTGATGTGCAGCATGCCAAGGCACCCAGAAGTGCCAACAAAAGCAACGCCACCAGGCACATGCAGCATACTTTGGGGCGATAAGAGGTGTATTTGTGGTTCACGACGACTTTCTCCCATTCCCCTCGTCCTCGGATACTTCGGCATGCCACTGATGCAGCAATTGCGGCTGACGAAAAAGTACCATGAACATGACAACGACTCCAAAGCAGCCTCGGCAAATGAATTGGAACGATTCGGAACATCGCAGTTCTTGGCAAACTGGCCCGAGGCTCCATGCTCCACTTCCTTGTACGCCGCGGAATAGGACCCCTTGCCCTCTCCTTTCCAGACCATCTGGTATTGTTCCTGCATGTAAGCAGGATCACCTCCACAGGGAAGGCTGCCGGCATGGATAGGCATGTCGGTCGCAGACTAAGGCTAAGGGAAACGACTGACCTGTGTTTTGCTTCTCGTCTCCCTATGTCAACATCCTTTTGCGCAGCCGACCGGAAGAAATCGGCTTTCTAGCCCTTTCCCAGACTTCCAAGACTGCCAGTGGCTGACCATGATTGCTGCTTCTCCGCAGTGGGTTCTTTTCAACAAAAGTAGCTGCGAGACGAAGAAAGACAGTGGAGAGCAACGGGCCTTCGCAGAAGAGGTCCACGCATTGGTCCGACATGGCTGGCCAAGCAAGTTTAACGCTCTAGCTCGAGCCACTAGGTAAAGCTGCCCGAGACGTCGTGATGCAACCTTGCGCGTGGTAACCATGGTTCCAGAAGATGGTGGACTCCTTGAAGCAGCGGTTCGTAGCGTGAACCGTGAGCCTGCAAGTTTTGTCTGAAGTTAGCCGACGCCCCTTTAGCAGCTGGGGATGACTCGGGGTCTGCCAGTGAGTATGCTAGTGCTTCGCACCAACACCCCACCTCCGCTTCAGAGACATGCAGCATGAACTTTCCCAGCTTTGGTTACCGCACAACAAATTGACGAAGGTATGTTGTCAAGGACTGGTATGCCGAATGGAAGCAGCCGCATACTTGACAACCAAACGAGGCAATTACCCGATTTGGCCATCTCTTTGTCGAATTAGAAGAGCCGTGGTCGCTCTCGAGTGCAGGAGGTGGCGGCACGACAGGACCGGATCTGCCGAGGGCAACCTAGGTCTGTGACAAATTCAAGCGAAGAAGAAGGTAAGAAGGGTGACCAGGCCTCCATTTTCAGCATGTACTCGGCCTCGGTCCGAAGCACAGATGCCCTGAAATCCCAGCTCGACCTCGTGAGGCCCCAGCGGCGCAGTTTCACCGCCCATGACCTGGTGAGGGTTCTAACGGGACTCCACTAAGGTCGCATGAGGCCAAAGTTGACGAGATTGAAGAATGGATGGGTAGCAGGCTGCTAGAAGCTCATGCCAAACCACAGACCGACCGGGCGGGCTTAGCGATTCTCGACACAGCTTCCGTCACTATGGGGTTTGAAGCATCGAGAAGAGACACGACGACAAGTACTTGATCACTGCTGTACCATTTCCGTGTAGGCTCAGATCGTCAAGCCGAGTCAACATGGCGTGTCGATGGAATAGTGGCTCTTTCTGTTGCTGCTCGTGCCGCTGTATTCGGGAATTTTGTAGCTGGACTTGCTTGCTCTCTGTCCAAGCAATAGTTGCTATGCATGCTTATGTCACTCGGAAAAAAGCGTTAGGAGTTGTGCCTTCTCCTTGTACATTCTCTGAGGCTTGCGAGGTTTCACTTCTAACGTTGGGGCGGGTCAGCACAAGAATCGCGCGAATTACAAATTGTCGTGTTCAGGTCGATTACACGCACACGTGCACACACACACACACACACGCACACACAGGAAAACGGACACTTCCGTCCTTCCTTCCTTCCTTCCCTCCATTCCCTCCTTCCTTCCAGGCTGTAGGTAGGCGGCATTCCCTCGCTCCCGCGCGAACCACGCTGGTCTTTGCTGCGTTTGTGACAGTTAGTGCTCTGAGGACACTCCTGCCCGAAAATTTAAGTTCACCGCCTTGAGTGTCCACGCGCAGCCACAGGTCTTTCTTCTCTTGTGGTGGCACAAGACCAGGGAAGAATTGAGCAGAAAGAACGATCCAACAATGAAGTCAAGCTTAAGTTGTCAGCCGTCTCTCCCCCTGACAACGCGTATCTCCCAGTCTCACTACGAAGTTCAAGCCGGTCCTACGTCTACGTTGCATGCATCGCCTCTGACTCCTCAGGCCCTGGCTGTAGTGCGCTCCGCCGTGGTACACATGGTGAACGACATGGACGGTCTGGGCTCCTTCTCAGCAAGGCAGCCTGTGTGTAGCTTGCGGCAACATCGCGCCTGCCCTACCTCCGTCACAGCCGACATGTTGGTGGAGACAGCACCATGCCTGCTGCGGGAACTAGCAAAAGCCAGCTTGCCTGAGTTGCCTCCGCAGCTTTTCGTGGCCTTCTTGCCCCCGGACCAGCCGGTGTGCCAGTTGGCCAGGCCGGCGTTGCAGTCATAGGGCAGGCTGGCGTGACTCTGCCCGTGGCCGTGCACCGCCATCCATGTCCAGTAGCCGTTCACCTGCCATGCGCTGCAGCACCAAGCGCCAGCTAGCATGAACGAGCACCGGCCTGGACGTGCTTCCAGACCATGCCGTAGCCGGCATCGACGGAAGGCAGGTGATGGCCCTCGCAGCCCTTTCCCTGCTTGGTGCAGCACCAGTGCTTCTTCTCCGGGGACCAAGCCTCAAAACAGTCTTCCGAGGCAGGGAAGGCGTGTATGAGCGTCTGCTGCATGTCCACACCTCACGCACAATCACGCACACTCGGGGTATCAGTCAGCACAGGCCAGGCGACCCTGAAGAAGTTGTTGATGGCCGCGTTGCAGTCGAAGGGCAGTGAGCCCGACCCGATCACTTCACAGCCCGCCTCCTGCAACCGGCAGGCAGATTGCTCCAAGATCACTTTCTACTGCCGCCCGTCGTGCCTCGACAGAACAAGAGCGACACACGTCGCACTCTACCTGCACCTTGCTATAGGCCAGCGAGCACTTGTTGTCCTTGTCCGAATGGCAAGAAGGGCACTGACAAATATGGACGTCGACATGAGCTCACTGTCACTGGGACCCTCGCATGGGAATCAAAAACGTTGTCTGCGGTCCACTTGATGCGGTCGAGACATGACGACGTTCTTCCTGTAGCAGGTCATGCTGCCGGCTGTTGTAGCGCTTGGTACACGGCTGGCCTTTGAGTGTGCACGGAGTCTCGCACTTCATTGGCGAAAGCGTCGTTTGTGGGCAACCCTTCTGAAAGTGAGCACAGCACCTGTGCATCGGCGTGTCTTTCTGAAGTGCAAGAAGCAAGCGCTCCATGACAACAATGGAGCAAAGACACCAGTCTGACTTGTCATCGGTCCAGGAGTCCTCCTTAGTCAGCTAAAGTGGCCGGATGATTTCGTGAGGTTGCTAGGTCTCGGCTGCACTGGAATCGGACTGCTCACAAGTCACAGGTCACTTTCCAAGGCCCAAGGCACATCATCCCCGGTGCAGTGGTACTTGACGCAGCCCTTCTGCTCATGCGAGCAGCACCAGTCCTTCTTGGAGTCCGACCAGTCTTGCATCCAGCTGGTGAACCCGGCATCGCAGTCATAGATGTGCTCGTGATGCTCGTGCGCGTGGCCAACGTGGTGCCCTATGTGAGTGTTCAGGTGGTAGCTGCCATGCCAGGTGCCGGGACAGCCGCGAGACTCGAAATGGCAGCAGTATGTCTTCTTGTCTTGTGACCAACCGAAATACCAGTTCGAGAAACCGGCATGGCAATTGTACTGCCGCGGATGGTAAACGACTTTCGGATGGTAACCTACGTGAGATACGTGAGAGCATGCTCGACCGTACAGGTCACAACAAATGGCCTTCTTGTCTTGGTCCCACTGCTCCTCAAAGTTCAAATATCCGGTGTCGCAGTCTATCTCATCTTGCGCAGGCCCGGTGCTCAAGTCGTCTGCTGCCGCATGGCGCATGTGCAGGAGGTAGTACAAGGAGTAGCCTGCTCAGAGGGCCAAAGGGACCAACTCAGCCATATCTTGTTTGAAATTAGAATAGACTATGCTGTGTTTTTATGTTATATGATACTATATTGAGGATATTGCATTAAAAACTCTATGTGTATATTATGAGACCTGCACGTCACAGAGACATCACAACCAAGGAGCCGAGGGCCGACAAGAGCAGCAGCGCCAGCAAGCAGAGGCAGCACTGGCGCGGGCGATACGCGAAGTATCGTCGACTGACGACCTCCTTCTCCCAGCCACCTTAGGAAAGGTCCTACACACAGGGTTTTCGACTCTCACATTCGCACATTAGGCGGGCAAGGCTCCCCATAATATAGGCTTTAGGGTAGCAAATTGCAACCTGCTCCCTTTGAAACCGTGAGGATGCCCCTCGAAAACTCCAGCAACACTATGTGGGGTGCTGTGCTCATTGAGCAAGGAAGATAGGGAAATCAGGCCCAAAGTTCACTTCCCAACTTCGAAGGCTCTGAGACCGGAGATTTGAGAATAGCACCTCCCTCCAGTAGTGGCTCCTAAACTGGACAAGAAGTGCGTGAACCCCACTTCGGGAGACTCAACGATCGATTTCTTTCCAGGCGTCCCTTTTGGAATTCCTTGTAGGAGGTGGCAGCATAGGAGCCCTGCCCCTCGCCTTTCCAGACCATCTGGTAGTTCTCCTCAAGGGTGCTGGGGTCACCTGAGGCTTCCGACAGGATCGTAAAGATCGGCACCAAACTGTTCCGAAAGCCCCTCCCCAGCCTTCGCAGAAGAGGTCGAAGCATCCGAGCTGGTTCCCGCTTTGGGGGCCCGGGACGCCGGTGACTTCGCGGCTCCGCGTCCGAGCATCCCCCATGGTGGCGCCAAGGCCCCCAAGCCCCGGTGGAGCTCTGAGCCCTGACTGAGCCAGCTCGGAAAACTCGGGAACTTTGCATCTACCCAAACCCAACACCACAAGCTGCAACTTCGCAGCTCTCCCCCTCCCCCCCATCGACCTACCGAATTGCCGAGAAACAAGCATGGCCAGCATGAACAACTAATATAAAGGCAGATGCACTGGACATCTACATGACAAAAGTGGCAAAACCATCAACATACAAACATCGGCCGTACTAGCATCTCCTGCATGGGCTTTCCCTACAGACGGTGTGATCAGTATCTGGGCATGTCTTCTGGCGATCGCAGTGAGGAGATTGATCGAAAGCCCTGAAGTATGCACAAACATGCGACTCAAACAAGAGCACCACGTCAACTTTGATGAGATTACCTCGAGTGTTACCTGGAGAGGCTGAAAGCCTTTGTGCGTCATCATCCGGAGCACGAAAGCATGCGAATACATCGGCAAAGTATGTGCGCACGGACGTATGTATACGCGGGATGTCCTAGTGGGTCCTAATGCGCCGAAACTGCATATAAGCGGACTTCTTGTGCATTTGGTCCACCATCCCGACTCGAGCATGTGCACACACTGTGTGGCCTTTTCACTTCGCGTAGCCGATCAGAAGGATTCCGGTGGTTGGCTGTTTCTCGCTTGTCAGCAGGCAAGTGTTGCTGGAGGACGTTGCCGGACCCAGCTTAACAAGGCGCAGCAGTGCTTCGCACTGGCAAAAGGCAGTGCCTGCAGCTTCCTGCAGGTCTTTCAGAGCCGGACAGCACCTAAGATGCCGAACGAAAAACATGTCCTTGCTGAGATGCATCTCAGCCCAGCCACGTGCTGCAGCTGTATGGAAAATCTCCGAGATGGCTCAGTTTGTCCATTTGCTCTCGAGTTACATCCTGCTTGCTGGCTGCTCCCTACGGCCGCTGTGAAGCTGGCTGCCCTGCCCTCACGACCTACAGTGACCACCTCATTTACTGCTACAGCTACAGATCCCCAAGCCGCAAGGCAGCAGCGCACCAGGCAAGAGAGGCCGCGCTCTCAGGCGCAGGAGTTGCCGAAGTGGTTGCAGCACCAGACCTGCGGCCCAAGGGTCGCAACTTCATCGTCAAGCCCATGAGGCCCATGAGCAGCCGCGACAGCCCTACGGCCCTACGGGCCTGCTTGGGATGGGACCAGCCCGCTTGCCAGTTGGCGACGCCAGCCTCGGTGCGCTGCACGGCGCGAGCATTGCGCCGGCACTTCCACTTGCCAGCTCTAAGCGAGGAGCCAAGCAGTTGAAGGGCAGGTGCCCGTGCGAGCTGACTTGCACCCAGTGTCCGCCTCCGCCTGGCGATGCGAAGCCGGGAGCGACTGCCGGGACTGCCGCTTGCCTCCGGTTTGGTGACCTCCGGCGGTGCTCCAGCTCCACATCATGCCGCTGCCCGCAGCGGACGGGGGATGCGCGTGGTCTGAGCAGGCACGAAAGACCCAGACGCTTCTGCGGACCCCTCCATCACTCGGCGGATGAGGCTGCCACTGTAAAAGCCACCGCCGTGGTGGACGACGTGGTGCACGACGACGCTGCCTCCTGAGACAAAGGCCGGCACTCAACTCAACGGGTGCGTCGCAGAATAATCCGGAGATTGGCAGTGGTCCCGCGTCAATTCCGAAGTGTATTCCTCTTCCCGCCGGCCGAGTAATTATTGATAGCTGTGACTCAGTTTCACCCGCCGTCCGTTCGATCAGAAGTGAAGCCGAACCGCTACAACGAAACACAACCTTGGACTTATTTCCCTTCGGGGCGCCTGCCACACCTCCTCCGGCGGCGGCTCCGCCTTCGCATCCAAGGTGTTGGTTGGAGCAGCACCAGCCCTGCACAGCGCAAAGTCTCTGGGCTCTCAGTCTCTCTCGAGAACAACTACAGGCCTTCTTGCCCGGGGACCAGCCGGTACGCCAGTTGTGCATGCCGGCGTGGCAGTCGTAGGGCATGCTGGCGTGGCCGTGGCCGTGCACTGCCGTCCAGGTCCAGTAGCCGTTCACCTGCCGTGAGCATGCGGCAATGCTGCGATAAGGCGGCAAGGCAACCCTGCGACGAAAACCAGCCTGGACGTGCTTCCAGACCATGCCGTAGCCGGCATCGACGGAAGGCGGGTGGTGGCCCTCGCAGCCCTTTCCCTGCTTGGTGCAGCACCAGTGCTTCTTCTCCGGGGACCAAGCCTCAAAACAGTCTTCCCGGGCAGGGAAGGCGGTATGAGCGTATGCTATACATGTCCACAACCCACGCACAATCACGCACACTCGGGGCATCAGTCAGCACAGGCCAGGCGACCCTGAAGAAGTTGTTGATGGCCGCGTTGCAGTCGAAGGGCAGCGAGCCCGACCCGATGTGCACTTCACAGCCTGCCTCCTGTTCCAAGCGCACGGAAAAGATGGGTCTGCCACATCTGCTTGGGGTGCTGAGCCGTTTCGGGTGTTGCCAGTCTGTCATTACACACAGCACGGTCGCCTTAGACAACACTGGGTGATTTTCCAGGTGCTGTGCCATGCACGTTTCGCTGAAACCCATCGACATGGCCTGGATAGAGCAAGATCGGCACACGTCGCACTCCACCTGCACCTTGCTGTAGGCAAGAGAGCATTTGTTCTCCTCGCATCAAGCAGGGGTCAGTCGCGTGCCGCTTCGTTGGGAGACGTGCAGCTGCGGAATGCCGGGCAGTCCTTGTCTCCGAAGACGTGGTCTCGTGTCCAATGGATGCGGTTCTTGCAGGTGTTTGTCTCTCCTGGCAATCATTCGATGTGGTGCCGGGTGCTATATCGGCCTACAAGCGCATCAGAGGAAAACACCGCCGGGCAGACCGTGGATCTCACAGGGCGTCTCGCACTTCATCGGTGACATCGTCGTATGGGGGCAGCCCTTCTGGAAGTGCGCGCAGCACCTCACGGAGCGTCTGCGTGCGAGCACGAGGGCGTGTGCGCGTGCAGTCCTAGCTGCGGCGAAGGCACCACTCCGACTTGTCCGCATGCCAGGAAACCTCCTGAGGCAAGCACTTCGGCCAAGAGCAGCCGAAGCAGGACAAAAGCCGATCGACCCTTTGATCTTCCTAAAAAAAGTCCAAGGCACTTCCCCGGTGCAGTGGTACTTGACGCAGCCCTTCTGCTCATGCGAGCAGCACCAGTCCTTCTTGGAGTCCGACCACCCTTGCATCCAGTTGGAGTACCCGGCTTCGCAGTCATAGATGTGCCCTACAGCATGGCCAATGCCGTGCATCACGTGCTTGCTCAGATGGTAGCTTCCATGCCAGGTGCCGGGGCAACCGAGATTCTGGTGAGAGCAGCACCATCCCTTCTTGTGGTCCGACCAGCCGAAGTACCAGTTCGAGAAGCCCTCGTTGCAGTTGTAGCGGAAGCGTGGTTGGCGTGGTTGCTCGTGAACGTAATGGTAGACCACATGACTGCGCGCCGGAGCCGGCACAGGTACATGCACGACCCTGGTCTCAGGCTGGCCATACACGGGCACATGGTGATAGATCACCTTCGGTGGCTTTGCATGCAGAGGGCAAGCCCGGCCAAAGTGCATGCAGCAGTATTTCTGCTGCTGCTCTCCCCACATGTGCATCCAATCGTGGTAGCCTCCGTAGCAGTCGAATCGATCGTAGCTCGGCACTGGTGGTGCTGTGTCGTCCGCTCCAACTGGAACCGCATCCCAGAAGAAGAGCCGCCACAACAGCAAGCCTGCGGCCGCTGTACATCAGAATCAGCAAAGGCTGAGATTGCTGGTGTCATTACTGGACCGGGTGCAGGAAGACATCAACACTCCTATCCCTGCGATTCCAAAAGTCACTCAAAAAGCTCGGAGGCAGATGATGCAAAGCCTTACCTACTTCACATAGCTCCGAGCAGCCGAAGGCGAAGAGCAGCAGCGCTGCAAGGATGGCGATGCATTCTCCCCTGAACCTGGCAAGGCAAAAGCCAAAAGATGCTCCCATCGACTGCCTCAACTCTCTAGGGCGCGGCTATCAAACAACCGTTGGACACACCAGCTCCCAAGCAAACTCTGAAGCTCTAGCCATGCATTGGGCAGTGTTGACGCGAAAGACAGGGCGAGTGGAGGCCTCCAAGCGCTTCGGCTCGTCTTCACTTCTTCGAGGTTGCCACGTCCTGCTTCGGGCTTCTGCGGAGTCTCAAGTCCCATGAATCTCTGTCTCCCTCACGGAGATGTGCGGCCAGGCTGCCGGCACCAACGTACTGCACTTGAGAGGCCTGCAGGTAGAAGGGAACCCACAGTCTTCGTTATCCATCTGGTGACACAGCCAGAAAGCAAACTTGCATCAAGCTGCATGTTGCTTTCATGCCACTTCTACATGGTCGTGACACGCCTGGGAGTAGGCACCACGGTTCTCACCGACATACTTGTACTGAGCGGTTTCGTGCACCGAGCTTGGGTCACCTCAAATGAAACGAAGCGGGACATGGATTCGGAACACTGGGACATTTCCATCTTCGTGTGGGGGATCAACACATCAACACACACTGCCTGATCTCCACGTCTTCTTTAGCTACTGATGCCCTGATGCCACGGAGTGTACATCTGATGACTTCCACATCTTGGCCTCAGTGAGAAGTCAGTGAGTCTACATGCCCGGCCTTCAAAGCACACCGCCATGCAGCCATCAGGTTCTGCACCTACAAGGCCACCACTTCACATGAGCTGATCAAACGTTCCTGCTCGCGCCTCCGGCCGGCATGATGAAAAACGAATACAGTTACAAGCAGAGACTGAAGAAGCCGAAAATTCTGCGCACGTGTTGGATGGTGCCCGGATTCATGTGCACTCGTACGCATCGTCTGAGGCGAGACGCCATCAGGCAGGGACCTTTCACCAAAGCCAGGCTCACCAGAGCAAAGACGGCATGAGGTGGCATGCCTTTTCGTCGATGCGGAGTCGAGCTGAAGTTGAATGTCGAGAACAGCATGACACACGCGCAAAGCACCATTCCGAAACTTAAGAAGACAGCACGAGGGTCAGCATGGCAGGAACGCTTCTTGTATGTTGAGCTGCTATTTCGGGATGTGGTTGCACAGTGACGGAGCTGTAGAAGGGTTGAGGGTGCCCTCGCACGCGTGAAATTGCGCAAGGGCAGAGATGTGCCTCGCCACGGTGGAGCAGACTACTGATCTTTGGGTCCATGCGTGAATCCATGCACGGTTTGCTCGCCCATGGTATGCGGAAGCTCAGAGAAACTCGCTTCTGAAAACGTCCAGAACCGTCTC